TAAATCCATCAACGTGTCAGGATTTGATTTATCTCAACAGCTTCTTCAAATATTGAAGTATGGACATTGAAAAGGGTATGGAGAAAGGGAACTACCCAAGAAATTTGAGTGTTTGTTTGTTTGTTTGTTTAGCCACACAACTTCTACTCTCCTTTTTCTGCCATTAAAAAATATCCTAAAAGATAAGGGAGGGAAGGGAAGAAAAATCACATCTCGAGGCCAATATACCAATATACGTAACTACTGGGCAGTTGTATGAGAACTGTGAGTACCTGTGGGAGTTTTGTGGTTCTCATTTTGACCTTCTGAGTGTATTTTAGAACACGGTGAAGTGTTTCCTTAGCAGTGACCCAACCTAGCCGTCAAAGGCCTTCTCTACCAACCTTCATCTCTGAGGGAGGAAGTGACTGATAACCAAATGGGAATATTTGATGACAGGCCAGTTTCATGCAGCTTATCCTCCAGGAGTGGGGAAGAAGAGAGAGTGGTCATTTTTCAATGGCTTTAAAACACAAAGGTCAGACGGACCTAGGAAAGGTCCAGTTCTCGACAGTCCAAAAAACATCAACAGAACAGGGCAAAGCAAAAATCCCACAGACGCTAACATCTCAGTCACAGCCACACAGCCCCAATCTAATTGTCTTTTTATCTTCTTTAAGTCTGGTATGTGTCACCAGGATCACAAACTCTAGCGAGAAGCATCGTTTTGGTTCCTCTTGGCCCCATGCATATATATGGAGCCTAAGGATCGGACCCTGAGCTCAGAAGGGCCACAACTCTCTCAGAAGTACTCAGAGGGTTGCAAATTCTGGGCGATCACCCCTGGGCCCAGTCACAGCCCCTACCAGAGTCAGATCATGAGAAGTGAGGGCCAGAGGGTCCAGGCCTTCGTCCAAGCCCGGTGGAGATGCTGGGGGCAGCCAGGAAAGGCGGCTCTGGACCTTACAGCCTAGACACCCAGCGAACCTGATTTGGGAAAAGCCCTTGAACCCAAAGTCCCCAACACTTCCTGCTGTGACAAAGCTAAAATGCAGCTTGCCAGGCCCTTGCCCCACCACGCCTAGGCCTTTAGGGAGGGCTGAGTGGACCATCACTTCTTTCTCCCATCGTCTCACAGCCTCTCACCCCGCCCGGGTGAAGCTTCCATTTACTTCCCTGGGATGGGCTTCAAAGGTTCTTTTAATTCCTCGGGTAGCTCAGGGCGCTGAGTTCGCCCTTGAACCCGCCTCCCGCGCGGCCCAAATGGCACTGGATGCTCCAAACCTGCCTGGCACCTAGCCCTTCTGCAATAAGGCCGCACTCCCAGAAACCACGCGGGATCAGCGAGTCGTAAAGCAATTGCAGGGGTAATAAAAGGCGGCTCGGTGGGTCCCCCAGCTCCTTTCTTGTCCACCCCACCGTCCCGAGTTCCCCCATCCCCCTGCCTGCAGAAACAATCAAACAAAGACTCAAAAGCCAGGAAATGTCCAATTCACTTCCCTTAGAGTTTATTAATTGCCCACACCCATCGCAGGAAACTTGGCTGTGTTCAGTGAGGAACGGAGGGTACCCCGGAGCCGAGCTGCCGCAGTACCCCCCACCTTCCGCGCAGCGGGAAACCGTTAGCGCCAGCCCAGCATCCCCAGAGGCCGGGTCCTGCGGCCCCTGGGCAGCTGAGTGCAGCGTCGCCGCCGGGTTCCAGCCAGTTGGGTATTTACTGCGCCTCTCACTTCTTCGCGCCTTTGTTTGGGTCTGGAGATGGGGTTCAGGGTACAGTCGACGCCCCCAAGAACTCGTTGACTTCAGAAAGGGCATTGCCACGGTTTGCCAAGTTCTACCTCCACGCAAGTACTTCTTGCAGCAAAAGCGCAGACAGGGGCATGAGTTTGGGGGACCCTGAGGACCAGCACCACGGTCGAAACGTAGGGTGAACTCCACAGGAGAACTGGCACCGCGACTTCTGTAGCCTCTGCCTTTTAAACTAGTATTATTATTTTCTTCAACGCCCTGAGAATTGTTGGGTGTTTATTTAGGAAGTGTAACAGAGTTACTGGGTCCTTAGAAACTCGGGATGTTCAGGGGGTTTGATTTGGCTCCCAAACAGCTTGAAAAAGAAACAGCGCACCTGGGGTCAGGCGGGTCATCACAATAACAAAAAGCGCGTCTACAAAATAAAAAGCTCTTTTATAAAGCAAGGCAATCCCGGAAATCCACTGCAAGCCTTCTTGATGACCATCTAGCGAGGCCTATTCTCAGGTTTAATTGGCCCGCGGTTTATTGGCGCCTTATTGGTGTTGATTGAAATTTTGCTCTCAGTCCTTTCTTTTAAGAATTAGCATCTCAAGTCGATTTACCTGAGTCAATTATCTTTTTAGGGTCTGGGTTTGGTCATAAATTTGCAAATATTCATTAAACTCACTTTGTAAATATCTCTCTTTCCAATCACTACCCAAATCTCTATTATTTCCTAAGAAAGTCTTTTCTTTTTTTAAGGCTTCCATAAAAAGAAATTGATCAGGGAGCTATATTTGAATTAAGACATATTAAATCGATGACAGATACATATCATGCTGTGTTTAACAAGAGTTGTACAAGGAGGCGGGTTCCAGATTCCGCACGGCTCTGCTGCACCATTATTCACATTTTTACAGCCTTTCCTTCATGCCTTCACCCATTAAACCATTAAATTTCAGCAATTCAATAAAACAAAGCAGTTATAATTTTGACGAAAAGCTATTTTGAAGGGGGTGGAGGTACCCATTTTATTGCACAATAAAAATGCTCAACAGTCCATATTAAAGGCTAGGTTGTGTTTATTTTCTTCTTTATTTCTTCTTTTTTGTTTGTGTGTGTGTGTGTTTTATGTATAACCTGCAGGATTAAACTCAAAGCCGCCATTACTGCCAAGTCTTGTCGCTCTCTGCCAAAATATTCAAATACAAGGAACTCATTTGAAATGTTCTGAGAGGATATGAAGACAATGGTGATCATGACAAATATTATGCTTCCTTCATAAACCATCCGCAGAGATGGCACAGTTCTCAGTCAACCTGCGCCTGGTTGGCTTGAGATGTTTTAAGTCCTTGAAACAAAATAGTGAAAGGGCTTGTTCCCATTCTCTACAAATACAGATGTGGATTTTGTCACTGCTGATTATTAAAATTTTTCGTTGTGTTTCCAGGCAAGCCTTTCTCATTTCCCTATATTGGAACTATACTGAAGTGTAAAGAAAAAGCCTATTTGAAATAGGATGGTAGTATTGTCTTTGTTTGCTTGTCAGTTTTATAAGAGAAATGACATTCCCAAGGCTCACAGGGAAGTCCCCTTTTAAATATTGTTCACACCCATGTAAATGGTGCTATCAAATCAGTTCTGTTGAAAATATTATTTCAAAGGTTCAGCTTCTAGAAAAGGCTTTGTACCATCTATTTTTACTTAAAATACAAACAACTTAAGCTGGGAACATTTTATTGTATACCAAAAGGGGGAAAAAAGTTTTAATCATTTTTGCTTTTTTAAAAACAAATGTTTTATGGAAGGCAGTGAAATCAAGATTTTAAAATCTTGAATTTTAGAGCACCATGGACCATCGCTAATTAAAAAATAAACGCTCTTTTAAAAAAAATCTAAAATGACGCATGGACTAGTAGAACCCCCTAATTTGGGGGATCCTTCTCATCTTCGACCCTCAAAATGTGATGCAAAAATCTGTTTCTATTTTTAAGAAACCGATTTAATAGCAAGCTGCTGGAAAGGGATGGAGTTCGCTTAAAAAAAAAAAAGCCAGCTTTTATGGTTTTCAAATAAGACATCTCTCACAGATAGGCTGGCTTATTAGAAAACGGAAAGAAGGTGAAAGGTTATCTATTAGTAAATAAACAGCGAAAATATTTCTTGACTTAAAAATAATATTTTATTGGATCAATTCTAATTTGTGGTCCTTTCAAACTGAGGCACCTATGTGGAGTGTGTTCTGGGCTGGAAGGAGAAATTCTGCTTAAAGGACATTGCTTATTTAGCGGCTTCCCTCTGGAGAGATGCCATTTGGCCTGCCTTGCCACTGTATCTCTCAAAGACAGGCAAAAGTTAGTCTCGTTGCCCGCTATCCTTCCCTCCGCCCCTCTGGTAGATCTAATTGGAAGTGGCAGATCTAGAACCGATGAGTAGTGAGATTACACTTGGAGCCAACTCCTTTGAACCTTGTTGAAAAGGACTCCATGAGCTAAAAAGTCGAGGTAAAACGGTTCCTTTAGGACAAATTTATTTTGACTTCACCTGGTGTTTTACGGAGTCATGTCACTCAATCAGTTTAGCAACCAATAGACTTTAATCTTCTTCATTCCATCTCCTGTCTGAGCGCCCTACCCGATTACTGGGCGGGTTGGGTGTCTAAAGGAGTTTTTAGCATTACCGTTTCAGGTACGACGACGCTGTTCGCCCTCCTGCCCCGGAGAGCAGCCCTGGGCTCTTCCAAATGAGGAGCAGGCAGAAAGGGCTTGGGCGCTGGAAGGGATGTAGCGCGTGGTGAGGAGAAGGCTGTTTAAGTTGTAGGTTCTCTATTCGTCGTTTGCCCGTCGGGGGGCCCCCAGCCCCACGCCACCCGGCGTCCTAACCGCGTGCCGGCGCACGCTTTCCGCCAGGCACGTCAAGGAAACACCCGGCGCTGCGCGCGCAGGCCAAGCGCAAACTTTCTGCAAGTGCAACTTGGACATCCCGGGGGAGGCGGGGACAAGGGGCTCCAGGGAAGGAGGGGGCTCGAAGCGAAAGCGCAGGCGGCTGTGCGCACAGGGGCGGATCCCCGCTGGGCCCAGGACCTGAACGGGAGCCAATCCGGCAGCCAAGGCTGCTGCCAATCACACGGCTCCCTCCAATCCCACCCGTGCCATTTCCAAAATCTCGGTCCCACTGTGCAGCTCAAATGTGGTGTTCACTCTGCCAATCGCTGGAGGACAGAGTAGGAACGGGAATAAGCAGAGTTAGGAGGCCAGGACAAAAGAAGTTAAAGAGCGCTTAATATATACATGTTTTTGAAGGCGGGCAGAGGGAAAAAAGTCCCCCCAGTGAGGGTCTATGGGCCTGATTGTGTAGTTCTGATGGAGCCCCCTTTGAGCAAGAGGAACCCGCCAGCGCTGAGATTAGCGGATTTGGCAACGGCTCAGGCCCAGCCACTTCAGACTATGACATGCTTCCCGGCGCTGGCCAGCCCGCCCGCCCACTCCCAACTCCGCGCCGCCGCTGCGCACCTCCGCCTACGGGACCTGGGCGCTGACCCCAGCGTGGCCGTCACTCCGCTCGGACCCGAGCACATGGCCCAAGCGAGCGCGCTGGGCCTCCGCCCTCCCTCCCAGGCGCTCCCCACGCAGCC